TGGGGTACAGGCAGCTGTGGAAGTTGTACATTGGAGGGTTGGGTCCTGAGCATCACAATCCCCCGACATAGGCAGTGTCCGAGATTCAATTTACTTCTAGGAGGTTAGGACAGATGGCTACCATGGGAGCATCCAACTCAAATGCTATTGGTTCAGGGATTTAGAGCAAAAAGTGGGCCATCACCCCGAGATGTTCTTGTTCTCACCTGTCTGATCTGTTCAGGCACTTCCTCACCTGGGACCTGGTGGCTCTGTCTCCTCTCTGGGGCACAGTAATAGGACTCCTGGGATTACCTAGACAACGGATTCCTCCACCCATTGTGATGCTTAGCTCTGATTCTATGACAACAGTGGACGCTCCCAGCTTCCCTTTGGGTCAAAGTTGAGAATTCAAGATTAGGAACAGGTAGCAGGTGTGGCATCCCAGATGTGGAGAACTTGGGAGGCAATGGAGAGGTAAGAGAGCCAACCTCAGCAGCACTCAGCTTCCTGGAGAGAATGCCCAAAGGAAGATGCTTCAACCCACCTTTAGACAAGGACGGAATATGGGTAAGAAAGATGGCGCCCTCTGCTGCCTTTCTCATGTGGCATGGGTGTGGTCAAGGATGCAGAATTGAGTTCCAGTCCTGTTTCTGTTACTAATAGCAATGTTAGAGGGTTGTTATGGGGATTAATGAGGTAATTCATACAAAAATACTTAATATAATGCAAATGATATATAGTAGGGGTGCTGGCGTGGCGCTGTGGGTTAATGCATTGGACTGCAAAGTCGGTTTGAACTGCAAGGGTGGCAGTTCAAACTTACCAACTGCTCCTCAGAAACCCTATACAGGCTTGCTATGAGTTGGAACCTACTCAGTGGCACTTAACAACAACAACAATGTACAGTGCTCCCTCAACACTTGCTAACTGCTGCATGTTGTTGTTGATAGTTGCTGTTGAGTTGTATCTGATTCACGACAATCCCGTGTTACAGAGTAGAACTACTTCAAAGGTTTTCTTGGTTGTAATCTTACAAAAGTGGGTCATCAGACCTATCTTCTGTGGGACCACGGGTGGATTTGAACCACTAACCTTTAGGTTAGTAACTCAGCACAAACTGCTTGTGCCCCCACGGACCTTCACTACTGTATATGTTGTTGTTGTCAGAGGTGTTGTCGAGTTGGCTCTGACACATAGTGGCACGTTCTTCCCTGATCCCTCTCGCTCTCAGGGGGTCTAAAGAATTAGTCCCACCAAGTGGTCGCTTCTCACTCACACACAAACCATAAGCCTTCACGTAGAAGCTTTGGAATGCAAAGCGAAAGGAAAGAGCAGCGGGTCTGTCTCTGCGAGTGGGGAAGCCCTGGCAGAATTAGGGAGCAGAGATTAGATCAGGTCGAAGTGAAAGTCCACTTGGCAGAGAGAAGCAGGTCTGTCTGTGCGAGAGGAGAGACCTTTCAGGGTTGGGGTGCACTGGCTTCTAAAGAGGCATGGGGTCTCTTCCTCCAAGGATGGGCTAATACATATTAATTAGGAGGAGTGCTATGTTGAATATTCATGGTTTTTTAGTAAAGGGATGTGGGCTTCTTGGAAATGGGGTGCCTTCTGCAGTTGTCAGCTTTGGGCGTTATCTTCCTGGGTCGTCTGTCTGTGACTAGCTACTTCATTAGGGTTTCAGGTTCGGATCTCCTTATCTCTTGTCTCTTGGC